ACCTCCCGCGGTGTGGGAGGGGCAGGCGTGGGCTGCAGCCGCGGGCCTCCTTTCTTCCCCTCACGCCGCCTGCCTGTGTTTTGCCCCGCATGCTGGCCCTCCACCTCGGGGGCCTTTCCCAGGAGAAAGGCGCTTTCCTGCAGCCCCCCTTCCCGCTTGTCCTCCCACCCTGACCCCCGGGCTCTGCACGGCCCCTCAGCCGGGTTTCATGTCAGCAGGTACTGCGGGGAGCGCAGGGCTGAGGCCCTTGAGGGCAGCGTCGCTGGTAAAACTCCTCTACACATCGCAGTTACGCCCGAGGCAAATACTGCTAAACGTCCATGTAAGCGATAGAAGGGGTCTCGCTGAGGTGTGCTGTTGGAAGGTGAGGGCTCAAGGTGCTGTCTGGGTGAGACGCTGCACTGCGGTGCGTTAACTCTGGTCTCGCCACTTTGATTTTTTCATGTGTGGATTTCTATCCCCTAGGGAGAAATGCAGAGGTTGTGCCTGGCTGAACGCGTTTAGACAGCCCTATTAATGCGAACGGCGCTTGTTAAATGACTGACGTAACTTTGGTAGGAGGCTGCCAGGGTGGGATTTGATCTAACTTCAGATGTCTGCAGTGAAGACGTTCGTATCTGAGCAAGGTCGATAGACTCCTCTGACAGCAGGAGAGGGAAGCAGGCATGTCTAGAGAATGGTCCTTCTCATTTGAAAGCAGACATCTAAAAGTAGTTGAATTGCACCCTAGATGTGTCTTTATCTTTTGCGAACAATAAAAAAAGCCAAGAAGACCAGCTTAGATGTACACATTTACACTTTAAGTGTCTGACTATTTAGGGGAGATGAATCTTACCACAGGCCTGTAAAAGTTCTGAAATCAGAGTTTTCTCTTTAAACTCTTTTCAGTTTTAACATAGATGTATCATTCTGCTTTTGTTACCTTCTTTCCCAGTAAAAATTTGGAAAGGAAAATCACATTCTTTGCAAATTTACTCTCCAGCACCTGAAAAGTAGCTGATTCCTTGGTGTTGACTGACCACAAATAGGATGTTCTTGATTATTTTAGTCTCTTTTAAGTGAGTCAGTGGCCACCTGCTGATTCCAGGAAAGCACCTGGCCGCACAGGTCACTTAAATGGTTAATAAATAAATGTTAATAAAAATTGTAGTCTAAATTTCCAACAATCATTCAAATCCTTTTGCTTTCTCTTTTTTTATTCTAGGTAAATGCAAAACCTACAGAAATCCTCCCTCAGACACCTCATAGACTGCATCAGTGCTTGTCAAACCTCCCATACAGAGTTTGTATGTGAGATGGCGGGGCTACTCTCTGCCTGCTTTAAATACCCTGAAAATCTTTCTGTTCCTTGAGTTGCAAAGGAAGCCCTTCAGAACAGCAGGAAGCTCAGAACAGTAAAACCAGGCTCTGTCTACAAACAGAAAGAAGAGGTGGGTAGCGTCTTTGTTCTTTGCAGAGAGGTGTAAATGTTACAGCTTAATGAAGGCAATTTGAGTAGTAACAATATTACCCACTTGAAAGTAGAAACGTTTTGATATTCTAGAATAATCTGTCCTAAGGAATGTATTCTCACTCTCTTTGTGATTAGAGTAATTTGGTGCATGTTATGCTTTTTATCTTTTCTTACAGCTTTGAAACCTGTCTTAACAAAGATCAGAGCTTATCTCTGTCTCAAGTCAACCTAAATGACTTGTTGAAATTAGGCTTAGTTCCAGAAAACCTCTACTAACAAGTTTCTGAGCGGAGAATCTACATTCTTATGGCATTCCAGCTAGGAATTTCATGCTGCTGGAAGCTTAAGGTATCTCTATGTACTCTTACAACATGGTACATTTTCAGCTTCCTAGAGGCAGTTCAGTTTCACATGATTCCTCCTCCTACTTCAGTCACCTAGAGTCTGATCCTTTAAAGAGTTTACAATGACCATTGAATTAACTGGGAGTTGAACCCTTGCAGGACCAGAGTCTTAAGAAGAAAGTCACGCTGGCCTTAAAGCAGATTGGCTGTTTTAAGCTAGAGTCTTTTCTTGAGTACTCAGCTTCTGCCCACTTACAAAGCTGAGGCTGTGGAATGCAAGCCACAGATCCGTTACAGAGTTCAGAGGCAATCTGTAAAGTCAAATATTGTTCTGATTTTTTTTTTCTCCTCTCACGTAATTTCGTAACAATAAGCTCTTCCTCCACGCCTCTTTTCTATTGACAAACAGTATTGTATCCCTTGGAGTGATGAAAGGAAAAGCCACTGAACTGCATCATCAACACATGGCAGTTCCTTTCATTTTTAATGAAATATATGGCAGCAAATGGACCAGTAATGTACCTAAATAAACCACATTCATAGACCAAAGGAAGAAGACATTGTTAAGCACTAGGTTTAATACACAGCGGGTATCCAATGGATACAACAGAAAAGTTAATTCATTCAGAATTGTAAGGAAGCAACAGTTGTGCATTATTATTTTTTTTGCTCGGTTTCACCATGTACAAACATTTGAACCAGGCCTCTCACCATTAGGCAGGTCAGTGGACAGAGTAAAAGCAGACGCTTGCTCATAATAACTGAGGTTATTTTCGTTAAGCAAAACAGGGAAATACATATTTGGTTAGCTTAAAAACTTTTTTAAACAAGAAAAGAATTACAGAGAGAATCAGCGACAATTATATGAAATCAAAATACAGTCTGCTAAAGCAGAAGTGTTTCAGTTCAGCAGGAAATCTCCCTCATTCCTTTTTTTAAGTGCTGTCTTCTCATCCAGCCCCCATGTTGCTTTTCATCCATTCCTGACGACCATTACCCTCTGTGCTTCATACACATGGTTGTCGTGGAGACCAGCTGTTTCCCTACTTCTAATTCTCTTTTTTCCAGCACAAGCTACCCTCTAACACCTGAGCTGTGGCAGGCCCCTCCCTAAACAGGCTCAAGAAAACATCTTTTCTGTGGAGTAGTGCCTGAACGCAGTGCCCCTATAGCTTTTGCTCTACTGGTAATTAATTGCCTTCTTCAAGTGATGAGAGGGGAATAGGCTCACAGCTCCAAGACTTTTCTTCCCACTCATCTTTTGCAGAGACCAGAGTGACTGCAGCAGAAGTCCAACCAAGGTGACAAGCTGGGTAGGATTCAGTGCTGAAAAGATATCATTTCAGCCAGTAGGTAGGTGCAGGGTAATAGCAGCCATGATGCAGATGGGGCAGATGAATTATCTGCAATGTTACTAATTGCCACAAATAGCAGTACTAAACTTTTTGGCTTGGTTTAGATGAGAAAGTCTGGTGCTGCTGGGTGTTAAGCATCATACAAGTAGATGCCCATCATTATAAGCAATTCCTTCCACAGATCTTGGAAAAAGGGAAGCACTTGTGGAAAGTTGCCCACCAATTTGCTCTCTTATCTATTCCAGAGAAAACAGCAGACACCTGACACCCTGCATGCTGAGGACTGCTGCATCATTGACTTTGGCCACTGAATAACGAGGCATCCTCCAGCCAGGAAGGAAACTACGTACAGTCAAGGTAGAGGGTTCCTTTGTCGGCACAGTCTCTGCAGAGAACTACTGAGTTGTGTTTGTGCTCTGCTTGCCAAGCTTTTGAATATTAAAGGAAATGTAGTAGTGAGAACATGAATAAGAGTCTGAATGGGACAACAACTACAGAGCACAAGGAGCCCCTCTGCCTTATCTTTACACACTATGAACTTCTCTCCAGCTGGATTCTCATTTGACAGATAGAGCCCTGTTCTAGTTTTCTGGGCAGGGTTGGTCATTGGCTCTGTAATTCTGCGTGGAGTTGAAGTCTCCTGGTTCATTCCTTTGCTCCAGCAAAGCTGAAAGCCCTGAGAGGCTTCTCTGTAACAGCCAAGCATTTCAGGGTATCCAACTTCCCCTTTTACATTAGACCTTCGTAAAAAATCAGCCACTTTGCCCTCCCCTCCTTTGCAGAATATTGGTATGATGTCTGCAGACAACTACCCTGTTCTGTCCTGAGCATTGCATCTACAGCAGCAATTCATTAACTCCTCTTTGCCTCCAAAGTGCTTTCAGGTCATGGTACATGCATTATGCCTAGGGTGCAACAACTCCTCTTGTTTCAGTTAGGGAAACCAAGGTACAACCCAGTTTCAAACTCCCGATTACAGGAATTCCTGGATTACGCTCAGGTGTTCAGAGGATACCTTTCTCTCTTTTGCTCCTTACTGAAAGTTAATGTTATTTTTCAGCTCACAGAGTTTGTTGGCTTGAAGACGTTGAAGCTTGTAGCCAAAGCTCATGTTACTCTAACAGGGATGCTGTTTCTTTTAAAATGCTGTCTCAGGAATTT